CCGTGCAAAAACTTCATTTTTCGGCTGTACGTAAATTTCTCGCAAGGTTTCGATGGCTGATTCAGTCTTTGCAGTCTTTGATGGATCGGTAAACACTAGGGGAGACGTAATTGAACGAGGTTTTCAGTTTATCTGGTGAATGAGAACCGACTGACTCTAGGAAGTTTGTGAAAGTACAAAACCAATGCTCCATCTGCCCTGCCGAGTCTTGAGTATTGGGGTCGGTATCGAATCGTTCAGGACGTAAGAATCGATCCATTGTTCGAAAACGTTTTTGGTAAACTGTTGTGTTGTGTACGACGAGGGTCGGAGTGCAACGACAATCAGAATGACAATGGAAAAGACTGAGGGCCCGAAAACTAGGCTTTATTCATCCAAAACTTTGACACTGAGAGCTGGAAACGGAAGAAAGTGATTTAGCAACAAATGGTGAAACGTTTGAAAAACAGAGCAAACATATAACACAGAACCCCGACAGTTACCTAATATATGTTAAATTTTGTGACCAAGCGTACAAACCTTTGGAAATATCCCATTGGAAATCCAATAAGCTAGGTGGTATTGTGCACGTAATACTCTCCATAAATGATTCTTGGGATATAGGTCGCGTTAAAACTGTCGAGTTCGTATCTACCCTGTTGTCATCATCATCATGGACAGCATGCCATCAGTGTTCAACACCGATGCTTCACTGCCGTATTTATTTATTTGAAAGCCTTATTGTAAAGAAAAGAGTAAAGGTGGACAGGGAAGGGACTTAATGCTAGCTTATCACAATCATTCCGAGGTGCCTACACTTCCAGACATTCACTCAGGCAATCTGGATAGAAACTGACAACAAGAACGCCACTGACATCGGTTGGCAGCCATATCTTGTAGTGTCTCCAACCAGGCACAGTGAGGATCACGTGGTCCCCATCCTGGAAGGCGAGTAGCACCGACATCACCCAAGTGTTTTGTGATCTCCGTTATACTCTGCCAAGTCAAGGGTTGGCTACCTCTTTCTTTACGCCACTCTGAATTGGGTATGGAAAACTGCACTCTTTTTGGCAAACGATGGTTTGGCATACGCAACGCGTGTCCCAACCAACGCAGCCTCTGGTGCTGGACACATTCTTCAATGGAAGTACCCGTCACACAACCGAAAACGCGCTTTCTGACTGCCTCATTACGGATTCGCCGACACCCACCCACACCCTGTTGTCACCGGATGTTGGGCTGATTGACCACTTAAGCTCTCAGTATGGGTTGGTCAACATCTTGGTGTTTTCCAGGGATTATCATTTGAGCTACACTTGTCTGTCGAACGAACAATGGAAGAAGTTCAACATCGAATTGGGGAAATTTTCCGAAGCCCAGGATTTTTGCTCGGTCCAGTCCGCTGGTGTTCTAATGATCTGCCATCCCTATATCGGCGTTAATGACGAAGTTCCGGGTAGCAAATACTCCAGAGCGATTGAGGTATGAGATTACCCCCTTTAAAACATCTTTAGTCTCTATGCGGTATGCGAAGCCCGTTACCCAACCCAGCATTGGGTAGCGGTTGTCCATGTTTGGCAGTTGATCGCCATTGGTGAGCGGCTGCTACCTGATATATTTCTGATGCACGCTCACCCTAACTGAAGACCTAGGTCCCCAAAAATTGAGTTGGTACGTGGTTTATTACTGTCGGAGCTTTTGTAGGTGAAAGGTAAAGGCGCTGAATGTAGGTAGCGAGAAAGCTGCAGTCTATTGGCCAAAATGCGACAGTCGGCACTGTTCGTGTAGATCCATGCAAATGCTGTTGAGAATCTTAACGAGAAATATATAATCTGGAAAATGAAAGCCGGCACAAATCACATCGACTTAGATAACGAATGGGGTAATGAAAAACTCTCAGTATCAAGGTAAATACAACTTTTCCTTTGAATAACCAGGCTTCAGCGTTATCTGCCAGTTTTATCGCCGTCGCGGTCTGATATTTCCGCTCTTAATGGACCATAATTTGCACTTTTCGAACAGTCCCACAAAACGTGTATCCCGTCGACGACACAACCGCATCGTGGACTTCGACCGATTGCTCCGAAACCCCTTCACAGAAAAAACCGTAAGCGCTCGGTACCCGAAAGTTCCCTGCGGCCTCCCGTGTTCGTCTCATTCTCCCTTTATGGCCAGTGTTTGTCTACAGTATCCGAGTCCGTCCTTGAAGAACGATCACGCTATGCCACTACGGTCATCCCTCGAAAGCATTTGCGTGTACTGGGACGCAACACCCTCCGGTTGCACAGTGTTATACCACGCAGTCGCCTCAGCTCGAACACGATGCTCTACATTGATGTAAGTTGTCCATTTTCACTCCTGTAAGTTGTAATTTACAGCACCGCCTTAATGCCTTCCTCCCGAAAGCCATCATTGAGAGTTCCATAACTCACTTCCATAAATCAAGGGAAACACCACAAACCTGTCGGTGCACCAGGCATTCCGTTAAGAAAAGATGTTTTCGGTTAGCAGATCCGATGCCCAATCGTCATCATTGCATCTATGAATCGTGACTGGTGAACTATCTTTCTTTAGCTGGTGGCGGCCTTGTGGAACTTATTACACTGAGTGTTAAGTGCTGAGCTACTGTCAGGCTCCCCAAGCATAGGCAGGGGCAGTCGGGGTGCACATTTTGGCTTCGAACAATGAACTTTCCGATCGGTAAGTTAGCGCCATAATCACTGGGGTATCTTGGGCTCTGTGTGCTGAAAGGGCGAGAATCACAGTACAACTGCTTCATCTCTATTAAGAATCATCATCCCACTAGCATTCTGAGTTATTCGAATTCACATCCTCACGGCTAGTAGTCTGAACGCCTAACCGTTTGATCACCAGCAGCTGTTCAGCAGTGATTAATCCGCATTTAGACAGGATTTAGCGCCGCTCATCCCTCACTCACGTGGTCATGTGTTGACTGGCTTTCACACTGACTACTTCTAAGCTGCAATGTTCATTCATCATGTGTGTTCTTCCCAGTAAGCTACTTATAGCAGAGATTTTAAATTTCTAACGGATATTTCATGCTGTAGCTGTAGTCATTTTGTGCCGAAATCCAAATATTTGACCACTTTTGAGTTCTCCGGCTGACGCTACATCCCGTGCGATCGACCGCTCGTATCTTTAGCCACTACCTGGGCGTTTGAGAGTCTACCTCACCATGGAGATTCTTGACATGCGTAATGCCGTTGCTTCCCAGTCAGGATGAAACAATCATACAGTGTATCTGGGCTTTCCGGTGTAGACTAACTTCACTTAAACGACCAAATCGTCGAGATTGATTAACTTCGACCTTCCTATAGCCGTCGCTATTTTCATTGCCATATTTTGTGCATGAGTAGAACAAAATTTAACCGTTCGTTATAACCTAGTTGTTAAAAAAATAAGGTAAATCGTACAGCTGTAGCACCCTTTCAGTGCCTAACTACCATTCGACCAGAAGGAAGCATGAGGACTGGGATATTGCCAGGCTGCCCAAGCCTAGACAGGGAAGTCGAGAGGCAGAGGTCGGATCCGAACCACGGATTTTCCGGTCAATAAACTCAAGATGCAACCACTGGACTATCTGGCCCCTATTTGGTAAGGGCTGGCGACCACCAGATCGTGGTAATGAACGTGTAATCATACTGGGTCGTGCATTCGCCGCAGAAACAGCTTTAAGGCGCGCAAAGATATAACGAGGTTTTTATCGTTCCGGTACGGAATGTGTGATGTGTATCTTGTAATCAGTCCCATCTCGCATGGTGTGCTCAGGAAGTTTCTCCAAGATGTTCACATGATATGTAGCGTGCCCCATAGCCTCCAGTGCTTCCAGACACTCATTCAACACCGTGGTTTCCCAGTTCATATCGAGTAGCCGGGTGATTCGTTAACCTTCCAGCGAATATATATGCTTCTTCATTTATGGGGACGTTTTACCGAATCTTCCTAAGGTTACACACGAATGTTGAGGAGAACCTTTTTAATTAGACACCTGTTGGTTAACACGAAACTGATCAGTAGCAACTCTCTTCTAGTCACTGCTTGGTCGTTATTTTCGCATCCTGGGCAGCATGTGGAACGTTTGCATAACGCCACGACCGTTGATGCGGGAGTTCTATCATGAGATTGAGTGAAGCTGAAATGGTATTGTTTGGTCAGAGGTTCATTGTTTATAGAAATCGTTGTTCGCATAAATGGGGTACTCCTGTGCTCATCGCCCAACCTAATGTAGCAGGTGGCTTTGAGAATATCGTGGTTTGCAGCGACACTATAAGACGTGGTGCTGCACTGGTGTGGCCATTTCGGTGACCGCACCAGTCAGGTTCTTGATAGTGTTGCCCGAACGCCACTACAAGTAGCTTTAACATCAGGATCTCACACTGTCTAGCTGTATAGTCTGACCGAAATACTGACGTAACCGATTCCCCCGTACGCTCTTTTGCTATCCTAATAGGGAAGAAAAACCTCATATAACTGAGTTTCTCGGGCTCCATTAATATTATATTAAATTCCAAGCATATGCATGCCAATTATCAAGTTCTCTGCGAAGTTCGGTGATTGTCATGATGGTATCTAACTGTAAACCATTAGTTAAACTGTTCTGGTCATGTCAACAGCCTGCTGCACCAAGATTTACAGTTTATTGTGAACTTGTGGGCCATTGCTGGTAATCCTGGATCAGTGACCTCTTGAAAAAAACAATCATTTCTCTTTGTTCTGGACTTCACTGAGTTGGAGAGAAGTGCCCAAAACGCTAATTGCCGCTGTATGTGACAACTAGTGTGGATTACTCGGTTGGTCTGGTTACATTTTCATTCCTCGTTATCTAATGCGCGCTGCAAGAGCGAGCCAATTATTCATACACCGGCTACACTCATGTTTTTACAGGATGTGGAAACTGCTAAAAAATCGGTCTCTGGCTACAGGCCGCCTTTGTGGACTTGTTCACACCGGACCGTACGTCCTTTCAACCCGTATTCTAACGAATCTCCCCAACCGTGTTCCACTTTCCAATCTACCGGGCCGGTGTTGGAGTCAAAATCACCCGGAGAGGGCGATTCTGTCTCGTATAAACGGCTGCGCCCAACGGCCAGATTACTTGTTCGTTTGGGTGAGTTGTTGGCTAATGAATCGGACCACTTTCCACCGACGATCGATGATATCGCGAAGCCTCTAATGTAACATTAATCGTTTTTCACTACAGTTGGCGTTTTTAGAGATAATTTTGTTTCTTCCAAGGCATTATCTTTGTTCCTTGTTCAAACATTCCCAATTTTATATTTCTTTCGACACAAAAAGGGCGCCAGCTGACCCGCACTCAATTCGCCAGGATGGCAACAAATGAATGCGCTTGTGGACGGTGTATAATGCCGCTCGAGACGACCGCTCACGTGGGGGATAAAGCAGAACCTGCGTCCGATCCTCCAGAAGGTCAGTTCTCGTCACTGGATTCCATAGTTGCCACCAGGGAGTCCACGCATTTAGAGTGGCGTCCTAAGCCATCCCATCCACGTTGGACTCGGGTACGAGAGTTGTGTAAAGGCCAACGGTGTCCTTTCATCCCCTCATCCATCTTTCAGCTGCATCGGCATTTGGAATTGGGGCATCAGCACTACGTCAGACTATTCCGCAACGACGTTGGAGCGGTCCTGCAGGACAGAGGGAGTGGTGCTAAATCCAAAGGTGATCCATCCCAGAACCAAGATACAGTGGAACCTCCTCTCTCAAGACTCTACGCTCCCCTTGTGGTCAACTGCAACTCTAGTCTTACTTTGCGTCAGTGTTGCCCCGTCTGCATCAGTCGGCACGGATGTGCTTCAACAATCTTGTCACACATTAAAAAGTGAGTCTAATGTCTGCTGCTCTATGTCATCACAGTAAAACCGATGATCATTTTTACCTTCGTACCATCTGAAGTTGAAGCACACCGGTCCGTCATAAAGACCGAAAAGCTACTGTCTTAAGGATGGTAGCATTTTTTGGATGGCAACGGTATATTGTCGACAAAAATTCCTTTCACATGTGTTCGCATTTGCGAGTTTGAAACCCATGGCGGCTGAATCTTAAGGGGTGTGTGAATCAGGCTACCGTGTGGGAGGTTTTGTACGTTTAACAGACGTCGTTCGTACGAGCACCTTGTTTATGTCTTTGATAGTTTGAGTTATGCCAGGTCACCTATAGGCTGGTGCCAACGAATTCACATCCCATGTTCAATGCAAACTTCCATCGCATACCGAGTCATCTTCGGCCGAAAGTCATACTGTTTTCCTCTGTCTAGTTCATAGTGGCGCAAGAAGGGAGGTGATCAGCAGTCAAACTGGTGGAAGGACGTGAAAAAGACTGAAATTCTCAATACTTTCAATGCGGCCTGCCTTCAAGGTTCGGGTCCGCGTGATCTCGACGTTTGATCAGTGATGCTTCAAAATATTCAGCTTCCGATCGATGTTAGTGAAGTTCTTACCAGCTATCCAGGTTGCCTGATCCAGTATCCGGTGCATTACCTCGGCTAGACATGGAGTTCTCTCTCGTTGTCTTCTTTGTTCATAATAAGTTTTTCAAATCGTGGTTGTACGGCAATGAAGTACTAATGTATTGTCTATGATCTCTCCTTATCTCTGAGTTGTAAGTTGAAGTATCTGTTTTACCGGGTTCCTTCTTGTGAGTGGCAATTTGAACTCCAGCTGTGTCCGGATATTCTCACTATTTTTATCTGGACACCATGACAATGATCAGCATAATTACTCCAAACTTTAGATGGTTTCGCGCGAATACCACAGTGATGTATGGGAAGACCAGTTCGTTGACCAACATAATACAAGAACCGATAACCAACAACCGTTTGGAGCATTACCGAAGGCCTTGTAATCTCATGACTGGTGGGTTTCGGAGATGTATTTCGTAACAGAGCGCAGCATGGCGGCCTCGTTCTCGAGTAGAATATCTCGCGAAGGGCACGCAATCTGGTAACCGGTCGAAAGTTGCTTTCTTCAGGGCACGGTCACCAACTTTTCCCGCACAGCCTCAGTGGATGTTGCTGAGGATATCAGTGTGCGCCGAAGCCGTTTTATTCGTTGAATAATTGCCAATTATTTTCCAAAAATTTAGGTTTCGAATTTTCACGCCATTTCCGCCTTGTTGGACTTTTTCCCAAAAAGCCCGCGCTTCTCTTCTGTCGAGTATTTACACTGTGTACTGATGCATTTATTACTGTTCAAGGCCATCCACAATATTCGACGTTGCTGCCGTTGCACATTGCCTTTAGTTGAGACGGTGAAAGCTCTCCTCCAAAAGTCTGGTCTTCTCTCTGCATTAGAAGTAGTTGGGCTCGTGCCGTAGCTGGGGATTTTGCTCTCGTTCTCGCATCATTTATAGCAGTTGATTGTACCCGTTCAGTCCGTAACGTATGGATAGTCTTCAACGATATGTCTGTGATAGGACGCGATACAACTTAAGATGAAATGACAAGTGAGTTGGAAATCATTTTGCCTGGTTTCCAGTGGTTGATACAAAAGGGATATCTGGCAAATAAACAAGTGAAAACTAACTAGCGCAATCGGCATGACTAGTTCACTTAGTTGATCGTAATGGGCTTAAGCGACAACTGCCATCTTCTGTTCACCTCTAAACAAGACTTCACTGACTTGCAATACCAAAGTCGAGCCACGTAGGGCGATATTTAAACGTAATTGGCGCCAATTAGTAGCTGTCGCTGCATGCAACGAAACCCCCTGACGGATCTAAATTGGTATCGTGGACAGGTCCAACGATATTGGCTGACGTTTAGGATATCCGGATTGGTAGTTCAACAAGCAGTAACATACCGTTTGACTAGCTCCCTGGTTTGATTAGACCGTTTGACTAGTGCCCGTCCTTTTCCCTCTCCAAAATATCATCTGCTTCAAGCAGGGCGGTCAAGCCCACTGCTCTTGAAAGCAGTCACCTTGGGGACTCACTCTCCTTCTCGTAATGTAACTAATCTTCGGATCCGGCACTGGCGTTCTCGTAAGTTCTCTTTTATGGACAGAGTTGCATCTGTTGTAATTTCTCACAGAGCGGAGATCAAATTGAAGTCACTTTGGAGATATGTGCGCCATCAACTGAGTGACATCTGTCTTCACGGCATTCCTGTGTAGCTTGCTTGATTTTTCTTATGCTTTGACACTTCTCCATCTGTATGGATTCATTTCACATTTAGGATGTCAAGTCTGATTGAGTTCCTCTCAAATGAGTGGAATAAACTGTTAATTCATGTTTCCTCTTGTTCATCCCGTCACCAAGTTTTCATCCCTTCATTTCGGCGCAACCCTTGGAGAAGCCAACCACCAGATCATGTGCAGTTTGTGGTGTGTTGACTGCGTATCCGGCTCGATCTGCACGCATTGGCGTCACTGCTTCCGGTGCTGTGATCCACCATAAATGTAGCGCATCAAAGACAGCTTACCAGCACGCTGCCTGGGGGGCCTTTGATGCACATCCATTGGCTTGTCTAATCCTCTTCCCCAATCAACACTCGAGACTTGCCTTGCCAGCAGATGTGGCTTCCCAGCTGTACCGATCTTTGGATTTTGTCGTATCTAACAAACTAAGGACGGCTGCGTCGCTGGACTCCTACAGCCTGCGTTGTAGTCTCACCATTTCTGCCATATTCGGTGACCTGGTCATACTGGAACTAAAAGGACAGGTTGCTTCTGCCAGTACTGTGGTGGCCATAGAAGAGGGTGGTGAGACGCAATCTAGCGTGTAAGTGTGTTCTGTCTGTGAAAATCATTCGTTTTTTATCTGAGTCGTTTACTTATCTTTTCGGAAAATGGATACCTTTGTGCATTTGGCTGTTTTGGTTGTTCAAAATCGGTGATTACTTGCAGGTTGTTTGTGGAGATGAAATTGGGTCGATTTCTCCGGCGAGCTGGTAAATGAGATCGTTTTGAGTTAAGAGAGAATGCTGATAGCCGATTGATCGACTGGATTGTCTTACGGAAGAAAATACAGGGTGAACAAGACGGGACCTGAAGACAAATAGCTTAATAAGCGATCTTATCCGTGTTACCTCGTCGAGTACTAGGTACCACAAGTGTCTCATTATGGCAAAGCGCTTTTGTACATTGCGGTATTTTAGTGAATTATTTGTACTGGAATGGATGCTTGTCCAAATGAGTCATTCTGGTGCGACATCTTAGAGATGAACTGACCGAATAAGAGAATGTCACTGGACCTAAACCTGGTCCACAGGCTGCCGGTCAATGTGTTCTGACACCATGTATTATGTGGTTCAGCTCCTGAGAAGCGTTTAATCCACTAGGTGGCTATCTATGAGTGAGGCAGTCGCAGTCGTTATCCCCATCCTTCACCTTTGTATTCCAGTTAAACGCGTACACACGTTGAACTTGTTCTTGTGCACAGTTTCACTCGACAATGACATAACTCTCTTGTTGATGAGATTTCGACGTCCTCTGAATCACCTCCCTTGTAGGTCCTGCCTAACACCATGTTTACATTCGTCTTATAAACTGCAATGTATCGGCCATACGGTTAGTCGTTGAAAACAGGCATTTTTCGCTTTGCTACCCCTTATAATGTTTGACAGGGGACTTTCATCCACAAAGCTTTGTGTAATACGTTTATCGGCTCTTTTAGGTGATGATTGACCGATAGTCACTGGAACTGTGTACTTCCTATTTTATTACGGTAGAAAAATCTACTAATGGAGTTCCGAACCTCTGACCTGGCATACTTTTGTCCATGCAAGAGATCCAGTGCGCGTGCGACATTTTATTGATGTTTCATCTTTGTGTTTCTTTATTAGACCTGTGCCCGAAATTCCGAATGCAGCACCTTTTGCAAACCTTCGGTCACTGGTGCCCCCACCCCAAGTTACGCTATCTTCTGAAGCACCCATTCTCTCCACACTGGCTGGAGGCTTCGTCATTCCGTCAGTTGCAAACTCTGCTCCAACATGCTTATTCACGAATCACACAAACCCTTCGCAGCCAGATAGCATTTCCGGTTCCAAACGTACACACACCCTTAGCCCCGACACAGCAATCCCAAGTAAACGAGTATCCGTCGGACGAACGGAGACCGAGCCGCAGGACGTGATAGTAATTTCAAACGGTGATTCGTCAGACCATCCTATCCCCAACTCCTCAGGTGAACAGAACAAACACAGGCATACAAAGGACGCAGGTGCTCGGTCTGTTCCGTCAGAATTCGGACGTTTGGGTGAACCCCCTGCAACGCCACCCTTAGACTCCCAAACCCATCACAACAGCTTATCTGTGATAGACACTCCCTGCGAAATGTGCCATGCTACCGTCCCCACACTGAGACATAAGAGTCATTTACAAATCGTCCATGGGGTACGTTCCTCGCTTCTTCTTCTTGCCATTTCCACCAGTTTTCCACACTTAGCACAGACAGGTTACCTGTACGTATTTCGATCCATTTCATCGTTTGTGTCTGTTGTTGGTGACCCTATTTGGACACTATATCAACTAGAAATGCTCTGACTTTCACGAGCGAGCGATCGATCGATGCAATGTCATCCGATCGGCTGATTCATCGCTACCAGTCATTCAGTTCACTTACATCAGTTCATTCAGCGCCTGTTGGAACCCCCTGGTTCACCTCCGACGGACCTGATAGTTCGAACTTTGGCATTACTCAGTCCGTTGACATTCTAAACTGGTCCTGTTGGATTTAAGAAATTACGGTCGTGGCCATTACCACAAATTTCGGGCGCGCAGATAGTCTACCCTTACCAAATGTGTCTGCCACTTATATTATTCATGGGTCAGTGTGGGGTTACTTCACCCATTGTGACACGCACCTTTCCGGAGCGGACGTGCAACAGTCACCGTCCAATCAGCTCATTCCTTCCGAAGAGCGATCACTTTTCAGCCGCTTCTGGCCTTATGTTACTTGATTTGGAATAAATACTTTTGATGAACCCATCACAATTTCGAACGGAGACCATTTTACGTATCTTTGTGTGCTCTCTCAACACTCTTCATTGACTGTAAACGAACAAGAACTTGTGTGTACTGGAGAGGGCAGACTGAATATACCCGCACCCCAGCACTGGCGCTTCTGGTAAAAAATCTAATGTGAAGCGTAGAAATGATGCTATCCAATTGTGAATAGTGGTTCACAACAGGGGAGGCTTTTTGCTGGCAGCTAAAAAGGATTAGTGGGACATTGAAGACTCATCGCGTTGTAGTCTTCATTGTTAGCACCTTTCACACAGCTTGACTTCGCGTAATTCTCGTCTATCTTTGCCCTCATCCCTTTACCCTTACAGCTTAAACTACCCCCAAAGCCCTCTGATCCGTGCGTGTCTTGTGGTCAATTGTTTTGGACGGTCGATGGATTGGTCAAGCACCGAAGTATTCGATGTGAATTCTGTCAAGATACCGTGTGCCAGTCCACACTATACCTACATATGGCTCTAAATCATGTGGTGAGTATTTTCAGCCTTCGTTTGACCCCTACTATCGATCACCTTAACCGCTGGCTGTATAACCATAATGTTTGGTATAAGCCCCAACTCATCACCATACCGATGTGTTCTTCAGGGTTTAGGCGGTCACCAGCTAGGCAACACAACACTTTGTGTTGGTTTGAATCGTGTTAGGTACCATGGTTCAACAAATATATATACCACCCGATGCGCTATGCATGCTGTTCAACTTCTGGAAGTTCTATATTTTTGAAAATGAGGTCTCATTTACCTTCCTTACGGCCTGGAGCATCCCGAATGTTGAAGTGTGCAACGCGGATTGCACATATGCTTCTGGTACACACATACGGCCGATTATCCTTATTGCTATGATATCAAAATCCGTAACCTATCACGTCAAACCCACGTTCAGCCCCTGTAGACTTTGGCCCCCATGTCGTCTCTTGATTAATATATTTGAGGCCCTTCACCCTCGGTTACTGAGGGCTTTTTCGGAAGTTTGGCCGGTCAACCTCCATTTTTTGATGGACTGTTTCTCAATTAGTGCATAGTAGTAGAATGGAGGCACCGGGTGCTAGCTTCACTCTGATTTTGGTATATTGGATACAGTGCAAAATCTCTGTTGAAACGGAGCGTCGTTCCCTCTGGTGCCACATTGCGTATGCGCCTAACTTGACAAACTGTCTTGCTGAATTACTGGGACGTCAGACTCAGCAAGCCTTTGGGTAAGCTGCTTCCGTTTACCAGAAAATCGCAATGGGGATATTTGCTGGTGGCGCGGTTTCGCTCCAGCCTACAGTACTCCCTTTCGAGGAAACCAAACAAACGTGGTCTTGACGTTAGGAGTCGGATGTATGATGGAATGATCACATTTTACACCTTTCGTCAATAATATACAGTATATACTCGCGTAATAAGGAAATAATGGTGGATATGTATAACCCAACAGGAAACACGACAAAAAAGTCTGGAGGCCTTTAAGTACACAACACATCACTTTGTTTCACGAGCAGTTTGTCTTCAATCAGCCAAATTCCGATCACTTAAAAACCTACCTGTGCGGTAGAATTAGTATTATCACTCTACTGGGCGCTGGGTACCGGCGGAAAAGATTGCAGCCGCTACATTAAGGCGAATTGCGTGCAGTCGTGTTCGTTGTATACCTCATGGGAAAGAACATCGATTTATCTTGTCTCCTCCCCAAGACCTTTTGCAATTTGGCTCATTAGTCCGTATATTTTCAGTTAGTTGTTGGCTTTGCCCGACCCTTTAAATCCAGTGTGTTTTATTATTGTGTGCAATTTGTTAAAAAAAACTCAGGGCGTGACGACTATCGTCTTGCTTAGTTTTCTGTCTGTGTGCCCATGCGTATCTGCACTCTGTGGTAGAAGTCTGGTCAGGCAGTTTGATTTTGACATGACGTATATGTCATCCGATCTACATCAAACAAGCAGGAACATTCGCTCAAGCCTGCACGAAGCAGGTGGCATGTTTGCTAGCGGGGGCCGCATTTTCGAGGTAAATTTGGAAAGGCAGTTCAGAATAACAGGATAGCTAGTTGGTTCCCTGCAATTCTATTAAGAAGGAACCTCACTGTTCTCTGTTAGTCGAAAGTGGTGTCAGCTTTTTATTGGTTTTCTCTTATGCTGCTCACGCCGTTTCTGGAACGGTTTGTGTTGTTGCCTACGCCACCGTTTACTCGCTGTTTCGATATGCGTTCTCCGATTCGCTGCGTGTTCGTTACCTCTCGTTCGTTTTTCCATTGGTTCTCGTTTGTCGATACTGTCATGGCATTGGTAGTGTGTCTATCAACGGTGTGTCTGGTACGTCTTCTGTGGTGAATTAGCGTCGCCATCGGTTTATCGGGTAATCGCAGTTTGGTAAAAACGTCTTCAAATTCCACTATGGTGCTTGACACTTTCGAGCCGATATCGCCAGACTGGCAAATAACTGAAGACAAAAATGATGACCGACTGAAAATCAATAATGAGGACTGTTGTTGCATCGCTTTCCACCAATTGAGCTCTCCGTTTGGGGGTAGGGGTGATATGTATGCACCAAACTCTTACTCGCCGACTACTTGGTTATGTAAACTACTGAGAACGCCTCCCGGTTCATCCACATCGGACCTTGGATCGATGACACCTGTTCGTACGGACACAGGGTGGCGCAGTGTGAGATGACCATCGCCTGCATTTTAGACGTCAAGTGATGTAAACGGTGAGCGATGGATGAATTCTCGGACACTGGTGTTTGAAGTTCGTGTAATGTAACTTCAGTGTGCAGCCCGTTTAAGGACGCTCTCTTGTCACAACACCAGCCCTTAGTCACCGCAACGCGCCGCAATGCAGTATGATGTCAGGACGTGCCTAACGTTATAGCCAACAGACACGCAGTAGGTAAACCCACTGAAGTTCGTGCACCGTGAAGCTCTTCAACAGCGCCCATCTTTTTTATTAGCATTGTCACATTATTTTGGGACAGTGTAGGATGATTCCTCACGTATCTGGGATCAGCAATCAGCAGGCACCAGTACCGCCCCAGTACATCTTGCGATGTTTCTAGCTAAGCGTGGAGCAGGTCACGGGAGCACCATCCTGGGGCGCCCAAACTTTCCGTAATTTCTTTCACACTCTCACCCTAAATCACGCGTCGTTTTCCTCATAGATTGCATGGTGAACACTAGCCTCGGTAGACAGTGAATTTGCGTACCCTGCACATGGCCGAGCCACTATAATGGGTGCTTCCTGCCACTGGGGTATCTCATGCTCAACTCAACACCCGTTCCCCAATGGTTTCGTTACGAGTTCGTTGACGTCATCCATTAGCACTCTTGGTGAATAGCTGTTACGCGAAAGTTCAAAGTGCTTCATGTCATCTGCCTCAAGCCAAGACTGGCAACCGTACAGCAGCAGCACGTCTCGTAACCTGATACACAAGACTCTTGAGAGAAAATAATATGCATTCTTGATGTCACGAAGAATCAATGACGCTAGAATGCACAATACAGAGTTAGACTGATAGGTATGCGGTTACCACACTCCCCGTGAATACTTTTTTGAATGTGGACGTCATTAGTGCTCAAATCTCGAGGGGAGGTGACACCCGTCGAAGTCCTCCAGAGATTTCCTCTGGTCTATCGGACCACTCCCAATGACTCTTTGGGAGATCGGAAATCATCTGCTGAAGCGCTCATGGACCGAAAACTGCGAACTATCCATTCGGCTATATCCCTGACACAGACAGCTCGGTCCCAGACAACAAAGCCAGTCCGATTTTACGTGGATGCAGCTGTTTTTGCGCGGGACCGTCGACCACGGCATGAACGCTGGATCGAAGGACACGTCCTTCGAAGACGAGAGAGCGCAATGTACGACGTATCGGTTGGTCCAGATATCTGGACGCGACACAAGAATCAGCTGCGTCCGCGCCATCTCTCGGAGCCGCCAACATCCCACAACGACATTCCGGTTGACATTCTTCTTTACACCTTTGAAATGAAGGTGACCACACTGGATGCAACGCAGCCGGCGATACAGAACGCCAGGGAACCAAATCTTCTCCGAAAAAGGTGGACAGATCGCGGTCGGCGCACAACCACCCCTTTCCAAATGGACCTCAGAAGAACCCGTTACTGACCTTTCTTCCTCAAGGGGAGGTTTTGGGGATGTCACTATCCCCGAAAACCGTTTGTTTTTCGAGTTATTGCGAAATTATTCTAAAATTTCGGATTTTAAAATCCCGCACCCTTTCCTCCATGTTGTACCTCAATCCCAAAAGACCGCGCCTCTTTCCTATTGACCAGTTACACTTTGTATGCACTAACTGATTTATTGCTCCCCAAAGTCGCCCGAAATATATATATATATATATATATATATATA